CCCGCCCGGCTTCTGGATCCCGTCGTACCTGGCCGGCAGCCGCGGCGGTGGCGGTGCTGCTCCTCACGTACCCGTTCCTCACCTCCCCGTTCTTCACGCAGCCGTTCGCCCGCAGCGGGCGGCGGCAGCAGCAGCCTCCGGGCTCCGGCCGCATCGTCCCGGCAGCACCCGGCAGCAGGGCAGGCTCTGGAGGCGGCTGCGGCGCCAACTCCCGCTCCGCACCGCACCCACCTCCCCGAAACCGGAAATGGCTGCAGCGCCGCTGCCAATTCCCGGTCCGGCCGTCACGCGAGGGCGGGGCCAGCGGAGAAAACTAGGCTCGCCGAAAGCCCGGCGGCCGGAGGGAACACGGGGCGGAGCCCGGTGGAGGCTCTGGCCAATCCAAAGGCGAGGGAGGCGGGCCTCATGCTGCCTCTGGCCAATCAGGGGCGAGAGGAAAGCGGCTCGCCGGCGTCAGGGGGCTTCTTCGGAGGAACTCGAGAGCTGGGCGCTTGATTGGAGCCCTAGCCAGGTCGCAGATGGAGATTTGCTGCCTAATGGTCCAGACTTGAAGAGGAGGCGGAGCCCGGAAAGAAGTAGCCAATTAGCGTGTGGAGAAAGAAACCCGGGCTGAACCCATCTCCCGAGCTGGTTCCCGGTTCTCCAGCACAGGTGGTGGTTGCCCTCTGTGCCCTTCCTCCCTAGAGGTTCTCGGGTTGAATCCAAGCCCGAGACAGGCAGCTCCCTGATTTCATTAGCAAATTCCTCTGTGGGTGTTAATAGAATAGGCTTTTTGACTGTCTCTCGACGTTCTTCACTGTGCGCTTACGCGAACGTCTCACGTGCTCGTCACTTGTTCCTATCCGGGCTTTCCCTATACAGTTTCCTTTGAAGACTTTCCTTGAAAGTCAGGAGACCTGATCTATTTCCAGATCTTCTGATAACCGGAACTGAAACTTGAGGGACTAACTACTTTAAGGAGCCTACTTTCTTTTAAAATTCTTTCTGCTTCCATAGACTCATTTGCAAGAATAGCATTAGTAAAGCGTTGAGCGCCTATCAAAATACCTAATCCGGACCAGTAGCAAAAGAAAGGAAATTGATCGGCATCACAGCGACCTTTAGTTACCCATTAAAAAAAATTTAGTGTCATAATTAGAGTATGACTCAGTCTAGGTTTGAATCCTTGCTGCCTCACCTACTAGCTGAGTGACCTCTATGTGTCTTCCTCTGCTCTGGGGGATAATAATAGTTGCCATAAGAGAATCTAATGAGTTAATGCATGTGATGTATTTTGTACAGAACCTAGCAATTAGTAAGTATATCATTAAGTGCTGGTTATTATTAATTGCTGAATGCATCTGTGTGAATCCCAACATCACACAGCCCCTACTCCCCTGGAGCTTTAGAAATGAGTTGGCAACGTATTTGTTTTGCTTGATTTAGGAGAGGACCAGTTTAACAGAAAGTGGAGAGAGCACAAAACTACTCTTGAGTCACAAGCATTGTGATCTCAAAGTGAACATGAGAATCAAAAAGAATTATATGGGGCCTGGAGGGATGATTCAGCAGTTAAGAGCACTCAATGCTCGTAAAGGACCTGGATTTGGTTCCTAGCACCCACGTAGTGCTCACAACTATCTGGAAGTCCAGTGTCAAAAGATCCAACGCCTTATTTCTGATGCCCTTATTTCTGAGGGCATCAGGCACAATCTTGGTGCACAGACATACATGCAGGCATTACACTCACAGACATAAAATAAATAAATCTCCTTTTAAAAAGTTGGGTTTTTTGTTTTTCTTTTAAAGCTCTGGATGCCGGCCGGGCGGTGGTGGCGCACACCTTTAATCCCAGCACTCGGGAGGCAGAGCCAGGTGGATCTCTGTGAGTTCGAGGCCAGCCTGGGCTAC